GCATATAAGGAAGACTGAGAAGATGTAAAATTTTTTTTAAATATCCAAGTCAAACATATCTATCACAGGAAAATGGTACCTACAATACATGAAAATGAAAGGTGATCCTCGATAGTGAGATTAATGATCACATTTCATTTTCACTAAGGTTAAAGATCCTAGAATCTAGTCGGCAAAATTATTAAAACATGCCTACATTTTTCCCTTCCTTCAATTTTATCATTACTTTTTTTTTTCCAATTTCAATATAATCAGCCATATCTATACAGTTAATCAAAATAATGTAGGAAATCAAGTAGCCTTGTAAATTTTCCCTCTAAGGGAAAGGATATCTTCCAGGCTTGCATTTTATAATCAGAAATGGAGGGGGAAGTCTATTGAGGCTGTTTTGTTGAAATGAAGAATGGACAACATGAAAATCCAGGCCTGTTTTCTCACTCTTAAAAACTAAATCATCTACTAAAAATGCAGTAATTAAAAATTATACATGCTATTTTCTTTCTTTCTTTCTTTCTCTCTCTCTCTCTCTCTTTCTTTCTTTCTTTCTTTCTTTTTTTTTGAGACAGGGTTTTGTTATTGTAGTTCAGGCTGGCCTTGAACGCACAGTGAACCTCAGTCTCCGAAGTAAGTGCTGGGATTATAAATGTGCACCACCATGACTGGCTTACATGTTCTTTTAAAATTTACTTTTGATTATTTTCTGCCAGCATCAAGAATTCCTTCTGGAAATAAGTTAATAAAGCGAGCCAAGTGAAATTATTTCTATGTCCAGAAAGAAACGTACTTTGTGTTGTGAAGGTGAATGGCAGAAAGGCAAATGCACATCAGATTTTGTCAAGGATAGGCAGGCGGGACATCCCATTTTTATCTTCTTGATTTTCTCTTTACCTGCTCTTCTTTGTTTTTCTTCACTAACATCACCAAGCTTCATTTAGTTTCACCAGCTAAGTAGGTCCTAGGAAGGCAATGCATATATGATGTCCTCAAAACACATTGTCCTATGTAAACAGTTATTTTTGGCAATTCAGAGGTTTCATGGAAGGTCTACTTTTTTGTTGTTGTTTGGTACCAGGGATCGAACTCGTGTCCTTCCACTTGCAAGGCAGGCAGCAGAACCACTGAGCTAAATCCCCGGCCCAGGTCTACATTTTTTTTTCTCTGAAAATCAAATGTTTGGGCTAAAGTTAAAACTTCATGTTCATTTTTATGATTTGGCATATTCAAACATTACAAGTACATGTTTCAAAAAGGAAATTTGGTCTTTTCTGCTTTTTCTTCTTTGGGCCTACACCTTTTCCTAGTTTGATTGTTTTCTCTTTTACAGTGCATTTTCATATCTTGGGATATCTCTTCAGCATCTGTTTCTCCTCAATTGCAATTTTTATTCAAGAATAATAACTCTTCGGTCTCTTTGGACATTTTTGTTTTGCCCCCACCTGTGAACTTTATCAGGGTGCATTGAAGGTTAGCTGATCCATTTCTGAAGTTCTCTTGGATTCCTTTCAGAGAAAACTGCCAAAGAATATAAGCAGGGCTCAAATGCATCTGGGCTGTGCCAAGTCCTTTGAGGAAGGCTCCACATAACCATGCCTTCTGCCAGCTCCTTTCTGATCTCGCTATGCCCAGCTTCTTGATGATTCCACACAGGAATATGCATCATTTGCTTATATGAGAAAGGAACCTTTGGACTAAGGGAAGTGCCAGAATACTTGTTTATCTTACAACACTCTACCTAACTCATTTACAGGTGAAATGGTTTCTCAATTCACTGAGTTTTCTATCTTCCTTCCCCATCACACAGGGGTCTGAATGTTTCCTGTGCTCATTTTTAAGTGCCCCCATCAGCCATGAGGAACAACCAGATTTGCTCAAAGAGCTTTCCCCATGATTACTGAAACATGAATAGCAAAAGTATTGCTGGAACTAGTTGGTTGGAGGGACTTTTTAGAAGTGTTTTGCCAAATGGACTTCGGGCCATAGGATCACTTGGTTAACATACCACTTTTTTGTACAACACATAATGCTGTTTGTTTCAGTTGTGATTCTTTCTGTTGTAAGAGGCAGTAAACTCTACACAAAGTAGCTCAAGCAAAACGACTATTGGCTTTTATCATTGAAAAGCTCAGAGGTGGAGTTGTCCACTTGTGTGGCTCAAATGGTGGATTTTTTTCTGCAGATGTGTTGGCTTTTTCTCTGCAGTGTTGGCTCATTCATAGACGTCATTTTGGATACCTTCAGCAGAATATATTGTCAAAGATAATAGGACTAAAGAGTATGGGCTCCAGAACCTGCATTTTTGCAATTTCACTTGCACAAACGTGCTTGCAGCCAGCCATTCAATAACAAAGGATTAGCCTAGATTTCCTGTCTATCTAGAAAGAAGAGCAGCCCTGGAAACCTTATTATTATTATTTTTTAAACCCAGTTATTGCAAAAGCCTCAGTGTACTCTGTTGCCATTGAGGTTGCTTGGAAATAAAAATCTTGATTGTATCAAGTATTTTCCTTTCTTCCTGCAACCACATGCTTCAAGGGAGGCTAGACATAGGCCCAGCTCCTGCATTAAATTCTGTTTCACCTAAGATTCATATGGTGGCTCCTTTTCTTTTCATTATGATGGATTACAACAACAGCAAAACAAAACAAAAAGTGACACAGTTTTCATCAAGGAAAGGTGAAAGAAAGTGAGGTGAAGGCTTTGGGAACTATCTCCTTGTTGTTAAGAATGGACACTGAGGAAGAGATACTCTTTAGATATGATGCCAACAGCTACTGCAGCTATCCAGGGGCCTGGGGAAACTAGCCCAAGGACCAAGGATCATGGTGATATGTTGGGGATGGCAGAGCAGAAAGATGGAAGGAATTAAGGGTTTTGGTGACACCTTTGAACTATAGTTTTAACTGACCCTGAGCCATCCTGTCTTCAGATATTTTGTGATGTATGTAGGACAATAAATTATTCTTAGTGAGTAAATCATAATGAGTTTTCTTGTTAATGGAAATTCAATCTTTTTTTTCCTGTTTGATCTCTTTGTTTACATTCCTTAGTCCTATTATTTTCTCTTTGATAGTACATTCAGCTGAAACTGTTGAAATGTGAAGTGTGATTGACATCAGCCTAGACAATCTATCCCTTCTGTAGTGGGATAGAGTCATCCCATTTGAACTCATGGACTGAGAGTGCAGAAGCAGAAATATCCTCTAAGAAATGGGGGTATGGTCTCCATAAAATAGTGAAATAGATGGTGCAAGGAAAATAATAGAGGTGTCCAGTACTTTGTTCTTTTGAATGAGCCTTGTATTATATAGTAGCCTCAAATTGTTGAGGGGTAGGAAGTTTGTAATTTGTTAGTTGGTCTGATAGCTATGCATAAGTAACTTTGAAGGTGTTTAAGATCAATGGCAGAGCTGCTACTCTATTATTTCATCTGAGTAGCCTCTGCAAATTTTTCCTCAGTTAAGGTCTCATATCACCAGATTTGGGCCATAAGCCATTTTGAGATTACAGCAAAGAAGAGTGTGACCAAAGGCCAAGACAAAGCACAGAATTGCTAGGTGATCCAGTGGTTCATAAGGACACTAGAACAAGGTCACTATTTAACCAGTATGTACCTTTCCTCAAACACCATGGTTTTTGGCTGTCATCTCTTATAATCCATGAAACTTGGTTGGTCTCATGGCTCTTAGAATCCGCCTGCTATGTAGAAGAGTGAGGACTTGGGTCAGGCTCTGTCTAGTGATTTCAGTTCCGCTGTTGGCTGGAATTCCATCTGTCAAGAAAGTTTTGCAGTCAGCCATTTGACAGTGGAAGGGTTAGCCCATGAAACTGGATTTCCTGTGTGTCTGGAAAGAGGAGCAGCCTTGGAGATCTGACATGTTCTGTGAAAATTAGGGGTTAGTTTTTACTATTCCCAGTTAGTCTTTGCTGAGTCTAATGGACTCCAACATTTGAGTATTTAAAAAAAATATAAAGAAAGACTAATTTCTGTATTTTTATGAACTTAAATAACTTCATAGCAAGAGAATCTAATCAACATTAAACTGTTTACTTCCCTTCAAAGTAATTTCCTCTGTCAGTGCACAGGCATGCATTTTTACTTAGTTGTAATTAGTGTGAACATACTCGTTTTTGCTTATGAAAGGTTTTCTTTACCTTGGCATCCAGATTTGTTTTCATAGGCGAAGAAAATTCTGAGAAGGGACCTTTGCTGGATGGTGGGTAGAATTATATGGGGTCATACTATTCCAGAGTTAAAGAAACCTTAAAGGGCCCCACGTCCCTTCTCATATCTCATAATTATCCATTTGCACTAATAGACACACTGGAGTGGCTTCTCCATTTAAAGCTGTTTCCAGATCTAACTCCGCAGGACTCTGGCTTCTAAAAGGGGAATGAAATCCACCCTCTTGTCTCCCAGGGCCTACTCCTTTGTCACATGCCTGCTACCTGAACTCTTGCCTCTGCTTTCTTATGTAGTTTTCCTTGTCAGGGAAAGCAGAAACACTGATGGCCCAATTCTATGGTACATACTGTACCCCTTGAATGTTTTCTTTGCTTAAGTGCAATCACTGATGGTTTCCAACCTATCAAACCATAAAATTGCCAGTCCTTTCCCCCAAGTTAAGGAAGTGGCCATGTTAGGTTTAATTAAACACGGCAACTATTTGTACCTGTCCCTGGGTTCTCGACTCATAAAAGGATTTAGTTTCAACCTTGCTGTCGGAGTTCTTTGGGAGTTTCATGTAAAACCATTAAGGCTCCTCATTGGGCAGTGCCAGGCTTGGGCTTCAGCGGCAGGCTGCAACTGCCTTGAGATCATGACACTTCAGCAGCCAGGCTACAGGTGCCTAGAAGGCAGGTCGCAAAGCCCAGAAGGCAGAACTCTGAAATACACAAGTCCACCTTGTTTGGTGTGGAAGTTCCTGAAATCGCCCCTAGGGTTAGGAAGCAGAGGGAGGAGAATCAGGTACCTTCTCCCCTTTCCCAGTTTTGCTGGAGTTCTTCGCACTTTTGCTCCTGGGAAGGTCTCTGTTATCCCTATCCTAGGCATCACCATCCTTCAAAGGGGAAGGAGGCGGGGAAATTCTGCTAATAGATGCATCCGCACAAAGCAGCACGTTTTCCCTGCAAAGCCCTGGAGAGGAGGAAGAATCAGCTCTCAGCATTTGGCTGATATTCAAGGGCACATCAATCAGCGCTCCAGGAAGCTTTGGGTCAGAACAAGCCTATTCGAACTTGAAACGAATGAAGGGGACAGTGCGGGTCACTGACTGTGGGCCGGAGGCGGTGCGGGCCACACTCCCTGAGAGACGCGGAGGCGCTGGAGCAGAGAGTTAGGAAACGTAACCCTGGCGACCCCCAAAAGCCCCCGCCTCCCCGGCTCCTGCTCCACCTGCCTGCCGAGCGTTCTGAGCCTCCAACGCAGGCGATGACCAGCCCCGCGCCCTTAGTGGCCTCCATCAGCCACCAAATGGTTGCTCTGCAGACCCTGCAGCTGCTGCAGCAGGAGTGGGGCTTGGGGGACGGTCCGGGAGCCCCCGGGAGCCCGCGAGACCTGGACCACGTGCCCACCGCCGCACCCCGTCGCTCAGGTCCAATCCGGGGCCTGCCGCGGCCAGGACGAGAGGAAGGGGGCAGAGGAGTGGGGGCCAGGAATGGGGGTGCCGAGGAGCTGGCATGCTTCTCCGAGGTGGAGGGGGTGCGAGGCGCCGAGGGCGGTGCGGAGCTGCTGCCCTTCCCTCGGGACCGCGGGCCCTGCACCCTGGCGCACATGGCGATGCGCAGCGCGCTGGCCCGTGTGGTGGACTCGACCTCGGAGCTGGTCAGCGTAGAGCAGACGCTGCTGGGGCCCCTCCAGCAGGAGCGATCTTTTCCCATCCACCTGAAGGTGAGTCCAGCCGCCTCCCCCTTGGGCACTCAGGGCGGGGCTGCAGGGCCAGGATGGAAATGGGGTGGGGCCGCGGGAGCCCTAGCGGGGCTGCCCACTGCAGTTCAGCCCCGGAGGAGAGAGAGGAGGAGGGGCAACAGTCTGGGGACTCAGGAGCTGGGGCCTGGAGCTGGAGACCTGCCTGGGGCCTGCCTGATTGCAGAACCGGACACAGGGGAGGCCTTGCCAAAACGTTTCTTTGAAACTACTTCCTTTCACATAAATCAGCTTCCTGCTCTAGCTGAAGGCCTTTTCCACATGTGCAACTTCTAGGGATGGAGGGCAGCTCCCCTACCCTCTTTCCAAACAAATAACCTTTCCTTCAGAGCCTTAAATATACTTAAGTCATCTTTGCCTTTTGCATGATGAAATCATCTACGTTTATTTAAAGTTCCTTCACTCTCATGAATCACAATTCTTTTTGCCTAAATCTAGTTCCCTAAAGAGCGCAGAGGCCTTACAGAGTCAACCTAAATTCTCATAAAGTCAGGTGAAGGCAGGGTGGAGGCCAGGTGTTGAAGTATGAATACTAAGAGGAACTCCTGCTAAGTCATCCAGCTCCTATTCAGAAGACACAGTTTCCTCTTGTACTAAATGTTGCTAACCAATTTAGTGGGTGGGGCCATGGAAGTGGGAGATCTGAGGTCTCGTCTTGGCCTTGCCATTGACCAATGTAACTGGTTTAAGGTCACAAATCTTTCTGAGACCTCCTGGCTTTTACGTTCTGACCAGAAACATTGCTGCATTAATCCATTCTAGAGAAGGAAGTTGGGAAGGGTGTTAGGGAAGGGTTGAGCACTCCTCAAGAGTTGCTGTTCTTGCTGTACAAACCAAGGTTCAGAAAAATTACTCCATATTAAGTTGCATTATACACTATAAAAGGTGCATTTAAAAACCAGACATAATAGATCATATTATGCACCCAAATAAGTATTGTTTCTTTACCCCAGGGTTTCTGTGCACATTGACATTTTGTGCTGGGCAATTTTTTGTTGTATTGTAGGATGCTTTGTGGCATCCCTGGCCTTGGGCCATTGGATGCTGGCCAGTATATTGCGACCCCAAGTTGATACAATCAGAAATGTCTTCAGACATTGACAAATGGGGGTGATGGTGGAGCCAGAAGCCAAGACTGAGACCACATCCAGGTGAGAAGCATTTCTGCAGTCACCTTAGGAAGTTGAAAAATGAAACTGCATTTTCCCAGTGACCTCCAGGGTAGGTTGAATTTTGTTATTGTTGCTGCCAAGACACTTAAAAGCCCTGTCCATGAAGCTATGGCACATCACTGATTGTAAATTACATCCTAATTTCATGGGATTTTTTAAAAATGTGAGAAAATGTGCATCCCAGAATTGATGAAATATCAAGTTATCTGCAATTGGGAGCATATACAGCACATAGATTCATTCACAAAAGGAGGGTGAATGAACAGTTTTTCTTCAGGTGAACACAGCAGGCTTCTTGGAAGAAGCAACTTCTTAAAAAAATGTTTGTTTGTTCTCCAGATATTAAAGGGAAGACATTTCAGAACTGTGTGATCTAAGGTCAAGGAGCATTGAAATAGCCTGGGGCTCTGGGTCAATTGTAATTTGTTCAGTATGGCAGAAGGCAAAAAATGGCTGGAGACTTAAGTGTGGGCCAGATGAGGAAAGGCTTGAATGGCATGCGGAGAACCTTGGATTCTCATGCAAGCTCAGAGTAGATAAACCACAGAAGCCCAGATAAATCACAGAAAGCGGGGTTTCAGTTCGAGTCAGACCATTGCCTGAGGGCCTGACTCAATTCCTTGGCAAAGGAAACCCCATGATCTCTGCCATGGAGACGGTTTCCTAATAATCATTATAGCTGAAACTATACCATTAGAGCTTAAAGTAGCAGTCTCTTATATTTGGTGATCCCTTTAACCAGTTCTAATTGACTCTTGGTCTTAAACACTTTCTACCCTTCTTCAGGCTTTCTTCATCTAAATCTCAACCTCTCACTTCTTTTGTTAGAAAATTGAGCCCATCTGACACAAATTGTCTTCCTCCTTCCCAACAGTTGCATTTCCATTCATATTTATTCTTGAAATGAATAAATAAATAAACACCCCTTCCCCCATGTGCACTTTTTCTCCTAAGCAGGGGAGCAAATCTTTCTCGTCCTGCAGACACTTTTCTATCAGTCCTTTCCTCTCTCTTTATACAGTAGTCTTCCTTTATCCTTGGAAGATGTGTTTCAAGATCCCCAATGAATAGGTGAGGATATTACCAAACCCTCTACAGTGGTACCTCAGTTCAACCATTTCAGTTGCAACCAGAATCATGGAATGAATCCTTCGACCAGAGTTGTGGAAAGAATTAAATTTTTGAACTGAGGTACCACTGTATATACTGTTTATTCTTATGAATACTTACCTATGATAGGATTTAGCTTATAAATTAGGCACTGTAAGAGATTAATAAATACTAACAATAAAATAGACAAGTATAACAATATACTCTAATAAAATTTACATGAATGTGGTCTCTGTCTCTCTCTCAAAATATCTAGTTGTGGTGTACTCACCCTTCTTACGATGATGTGAAGTGATTCACAGCCTGTATGATGAGAGGAGGCAAGATGAATGATGTAGGCATTGTGATGTTGTATTTTGTTACTAGAGAAAGGTTTTTTGAACACAAGCACTACCTTACTTTGACAGCCAGTCTGATAACCAAGATGGCTCCTCAGTGACTAGCAGGGGGGCATGAGATGTGCAGCATGAGCCACTGGACAGGGAAGTAATTCATGTCCTGGACGAGATGGAGTTGACAGTGCAAGATTTTATCATATTACTCAGAACCATGCACAGTTTAAAACTTATGAATTGTTTATTTCTGGAGTTTTCCATTTAATATCTTCAGACCATGGTTGAACACAAGTAAATGGAAGTGGGAAAAGTGTAAGGGAGCACTACTATATTTTCTACGATTTCTCTCAGTCCATAAAAAGGTTCAAAGCTTTCTTTACCCACTCATCACTTTCAGTTATGGTCCTTTCCTTTTTTGTCCTGCACAAGCTTTACAGACTTCTGGATGTGTTGCTGGCACATTCAGAAGAGTCTAGAGTGCTCATTAGCAACAGGGATCCTCAGCAACTCTGCTGCTGGAGTCTGCTGTCCACCTGCAGTGTAATGATGCATTTCAGGGCTGCTGAGAACAACCAGTGCTTTCAATAGGGAGAGAAGGGCCTGGGATTTAGCTCAGTGGTTCAGCTGCCTGCCTCGCAAGCACAAGGTCACGAGTTTGATCCCCAGGTACCAAACCAAACCAAACAACAAAAAAGTGTGTGTGGCGGGGGGAGAAGCAGGGAGAAGCCAGCATCTGTGAATCTATGTGGTGTGCTGTTCGGGGGAAAGGTAGTATCTCCATTTGGCTTATAAATTAATGATTATGAAGTACATAGACTTGAGAAGCCCAGCTTTCTCTGGGCTGGTTATGCAGACTTAGCTTCATTAATATTAATGTTAATTAAAATGATTTGGAAGGGTGTTTTATATAGTTTATATTAAGAACATGCAAATTGGTTTTCTACAAGAAAAAGGTTTCAGGAGGAAGTCTGCTCATGGAAATAACACTTGCGTATCACTTAGAAGCACGTGGAAACCTCTCTAACATCTGGTCTCTTTGGTAGTGTTACTACAGAGGGTAGGAGGGAATTTATTTGAACTAGAATTTATGGCCTAATGCAAGCAATAAGGATCCTGCAGTGGAGCCAACACAGTGTAGCAATCTAGTTCCAATATTCATTCCAAACCTGCTCTGTCTTTTCCTTCCGCAGGCAAGTTGCTTAGCTTCTAGTGGTTCAGTCTCCTCATTTGTAAAGTGGGGATGGTGGTACCTAAACTAAAGAGTTGCTGAGATAATGCACAGAAAATCTTAGCTAGGCTTCCTATAAGTAAGTATCCATATATTTAAGCTATTATCATTATTATTATTGCTATTAACAGGTCATTGCCTCATGAATTCTATTTTTTTGTTAAAATATTTTATTGGTACATTGTAGGTATACAACACAATTACATTTCTCATTGGGAATTGTACCTTTACATAATGCATCTTGGTTCTTATTTTTTCC